CTCACTTCCTATTTGTGCTCTCTGTACAACAGCAATCATAACGCTTTGTACCTAGACCCCTGCACATCTCAAGTCTTCCTTCCAATGGGACAGCAATTTCTTCATTTCATGGGCAAGGAGGTCAGGCCCACGGTGAACCACATGCTCGGGACCTCGCTCTATATTGGTGTGTGTCAGAACCAGCAGTACTCACGTGATTGTCGTCCCCCGACCTAGTGTGTTTCCTCTGGGGTCAGCGATGACAGAGAACTCATTGGAGTCTGACTCCCAGATGTGCTGGGTGTCATTGTTGTGTTTGGACGTGACAATGACCTTATCTGCTACAAGGAAGGCAGAATAAAAACCGACACCAAACTGGCCAATCAGTTCAGAAGTCGACTGGCCGTCTTCTTGGGCCTCCGTCATTTTGTTTAAAAATTCACTCGTTCCAGATTTGGCAATGGTACCAAGGTTTTTAACCAGCTCCTCTCTGGTCATTCCTACACCAGTGTCTGTGACATGCAGCAGGTTCTTCTCTTTATCACACTAAAAGCAAGACAAGAATCAGAGAGTTAGGTCTTCTTATTTACAATATGCCAAATGCCAGGTTCTACATGGAGCAATGACCAGCTCGGGCCACATCAACTTTAGATAGATACTACTCTACTCTGTAATCTACTTGATGGCATTTCAAAAGCACTCCTTAAAAGTATGTTTCTTTGTATTTGTATTTTTACTTTTTAAAAAATTTCTTCTTTTTTAATGTGTGACTCCCTTTTTTTAAACTATATTCTATTTTATTTTTATGTGCATTGATGCTTTTGCCATGGGTGTCAGGGTCCCTTGAAACTGGAGTTACAGACAGGTGTGAGCTGCCATGTGGGTGATGGAAATTGAACTCTGGTCCTCTGGAAGAAGAGTCAGCGCTCTTAACCTCTGAGCCATCTCTCCAGCCCTCTTTGTATTTTTAAATGCAGTGCATTTCAGAAAAACAGGAAGAGACTGGTTTGAATGTTAAAGAACAGATACTAACCCAAATAAAACATTTTGAAGATAAAATTCCAGAAAAACTATTTCACAGAACACAAAAGGACTAAATCTGAATGCCGCCTGTGATCAGTGATTATTCATGTTCTTCATTAAATACCCCTGGCTGTCTCCAGGATCCTGGTAGGACTGTGCATGCATCCATGCACTGGCCATGTGATTATTTCTGCCCAGTGAAGTTGCAAGTGGGAGTTGTAAGTGTAACTTTCAGGCTGAGCCTTTAATTGATGTGCGACCCTTTGCACCATGGCAACCACAGATACTCCAGATGGCTGCTCAGTCAGCCCGTGGAATGATTTAAGCCCAGGACTTGGCTACCTTTCCCTAAAGGGCCAAGTAGTATCTATTTTTGGTTTGGGGAGCCATAAGACCCTGTCACACTGATTACTGCCACTGTAGACAAAAGCATTTATAACGTTACTAGTATGACTGTGTTCCAATAAACCTAATAAAAATAGGCAAAGTCAGATTTGTCCCACAAGCAGCCTGAGGACTTCCAACCAAACCCACTGTGACTAGCAAGTCACTTTTCACAGCAGAATAACCCACTGTATCCAACTGATGGACTGCCTGGCTTCTGAGGCTCCTTTTTAAAAAGGACAGTTCAGTTAAGCTTACCTTAATCTTGACCGTTAGCTCCTCATTCCCAGCCAGGGCATTCTCATCAGTTAGTGAGATGAGCCTTATCTTGTCTAAAGCATCGGAAGCATTTGAAATCAGTTCTCTCAGGAAAATCTACAGGAAGTCAGAGTAACACACCGGGATTAACCCCCAGGCACAGGAAGATGTTGCTTTTTCTGTCAAATTCCTCATTTCTCCTCAGAAACATGAAAAGACAAGCTCTTTGTGGTACAAGGATGGCTTCACTGTCTTCATAAAAAGCCAGGTGTGGCTCTTCATAAAAAGGCCTGTGGTAACTACAAGGGCTACCCCAACTGGTGAGAACAGGGACACTGTTCTCCCGCCCTCCATCTTTAGTTCCCTATACCTGAGAGCTCCGTCTGTGTGACTGCCCCTCAGTCAGCAGGCCATATCCGTACCCTGAGCTAAAAGGCAAGAGGACTGGGAAATGTCAACACTCTTCCTCCCCCAGTACAACCAGTAACCATCCTTATTCATTCTATACTATATACTTAAATCTTCATAATCTACTATGAAAGGATACAAGGACTACCACAGGGATACAAACTGCTATCCTAACCACGTGACACTTACCTCTTTATTTTTATACAAAGAGTTGATGATGAGTTTCATCATCCTGTTAACTTCAGCTTGGAAAGCAAACTTTTCAGATTTTTCTCTAAGTTCTCTTATTTGTGATGCGTTTAACCCATCCAACTGAATAGCTTCTTCCTCTCTAGGGAAATCAAATTAGATAAGCAACTGCTTAGTTTTCATTTTTAAAAAAGTCTCCAGTCAAGACAGAGTGACAATGGTCTGAAGACTGTCTTGTTAAAAGGTAAAATGGAAGCCTTTATAAACTACCATTAACATACCAGCTCATTTTTATCACAGTAATGGGCTGTCACTCAGTTGGAATTAGTTCTTAAAATTCCCAGAAAAATAAACCCAGCTACCCTCTACTGAAAATCAAGTACTCATGTGTGCATGTCCTCACAGCTAACACTTGGGTACTGCCGCCAATTCCTAAGAGATCAAAATTTAAAATACAGCTCACCCATTGCAGAACTCACATTTTAAAGTTACTGGCTTAAGTTCTATTCTCTTTTTGTATTACTAACTTCACACAAACGAACAAAATCAATTTGAAGTCATCTGTCAGTTATTGGAGTTCCCAGCACGAGCTGTTATGTCTGTTCTGTAGCATCACTACCAGCTCTTGTTTTTAGATGCTGAGACGCCAGGCTTACCCCCAACACCTCCTTCACCCCTAGTCATTCCTAGCTAAGAGTTAGCGGAGACTTCTGTGTGCAGATAACTGGGTACTCCTCAACGTTTCTGATTATTTGGTATCATTAGCAACTATGTTATTAAGCACTGGATGTTCCTTAGGCTGGAGAAGGCAGAGAGGCAGCCGCTGTGTCCCACAGACTTTCAAGGTTTTATCAGCACAGTTTCAATGCCACTGACCTCTGCACAACTTCATCGTCTGTCCTTGAACCTTCTCTGCTTTTACCCAGGTCCTCTTCTACTGTACCATCCACATCGACTTCATCGTCAGCTCTAACAAACCCTGAGGAAAAAGGTTCAAACTCTCAAAACACTGTGGCTTCCTCTCCTTCATACAAAGAACAAGACCAAGCAGGGCTAGAGATAAAGTTAACAAAATTGAACAAGATGGGGGGGGGGAGGATGGAAGAAAGATGTATTGATTTCAATCATCAATGTCACGCCAAGTTAGCGCGCTGAAGTTTAAATGGAAATGCTCACTATCCCCAGTAGACTCTGGAAGACCAGGCGGCCATCACTTGTGTCCAGCGTTCCCTCGAAACAAGGCAAGAGTGATACAGGCCCCATCGACACCCACACGTGTTGCACACAGTGTGGAGGCCTACACTCGCTAAGCTAAAACGTGGGCCTGCCTTAGTTGTCACAGACCAGAATGCAAACAGGGTTTCTGCAACTTCTAGAGAGGGGAACTGAAATCGGGCCCGAAGGGGAAGACGTGTCAAGGTCTGTGCTCGCAGCGCCCTGGAATCGGGCGCTGGCCCGAGGCCGCACGCTTGCAAGCCCCGCGTCAGGAAACAGAAACGCACTTCCGAAGAATCGGAGGGCAGGGCCCGGGGGTCCCCAGGATGGGGTGGCCAAAGGTCGGATCTGCTGACAAAAGTCCTTAGGGAGGGGCCCGCAGAAGGCTCCCCCGGGAGTAGAGTCCGAGAGGCCGCGCCCCGCCAGCGAGACTCCGGGGAGCGCTCCAGCTCCATCCGCAAGGCATTTAAATGCCCCGGCTCCAAGCCGCCTCTTCCTGGAGGTCTCAGGGCAAGCATCATGTCCCGAGTCCCGGGTCTAAGCAAGGAGAGGCTCCCTGTACCCTCTGCAGCTCCTGGCGCCCCCCTCCCAGGCTTCAACGCCCCCAGAACGTTCGAGAAGCGGTCGCGAAGAAGGGGGGGGGGCACCCGCTGCCGCCCGATCACTCACCGAAGGTCAGCAGGACGCAGCAGAGGCCTAGTACCCAGAGGACCCTCATGGTGCGCGGACGGCGAGTCGCAAGTCCTTTTCGGTCGCAGGAGCCGCCGCCGCCGCCCCCCCACCCCGAGTCTCCGGTCCTCACACCTCCGGCCGCGCGGTCCGCCCACTAAACCGCGCGCAGGTCGGGCTGCTTTTCACCCCCACTGCTCGCGGGCGGGGGACGGGAAACACGAACGCACCAATCCCGCCTCACCACGCACGCTCTGCACCCAATGGGGACGCACGGGGGGGGCCGCAGCCCGCCAATCGCAACTGTCCAGGTGCGGTGCCCGACGCCCGAAGCGTGGCTCCTTCCGATTGGGCTTGGCCGGCGTCTTCCCTCCAATCAAACGGCTCCGCGGGCCCCTCACACGCCGGGCCACCCCTCGGCCTGGGAAGCCGGGGCCTCTGAGGAAAACCGTCCAATGGACGTAAGCGCAGGGCACGTCTGTCCTCTCCTCGAGGTCCCGGGGAATCACTTCCGGCCCCGACAGAACGTTTACTCCGTGACTAGGGGAAACGGTAGCCAAGACAACGCGTTTTTCACTCTTTTCCCGTCTACGACGGGGGGTCACGTTGGGAGCCATTTTAGCGCTACGCCCTCTCCCCCCGCCCCCGTCACCTTTCTGTTCGACGTTGCTTTTGGAAAAAGAGAAATATGTAAGGGATTGAACACCCTCCCGGGTGCGTTTGGATGATGGTGAGAAACTACATTTCCCGGCATGCAACGCACTAGGCGTATGGATGCTGGGAATCGTAGTCCTAGGCCCCTGAGCCAGTGGGCGTAGTTTGGCCTCTGCGCATCCTCCTGTCATGTGTCTGCGGGAAGTGTGTCCTCAGTGATTTAGGATTTCCACCTCGTTCTGATTGCAGATTAGATCTATGCTTGTTCCAGGACTCTAATGCACACAGTTTTCAGTGGCGGACCTGGAAAGCCGCCCGGCGTGGCCCTAGCCGCCGGGTGTCAGAGGGCCAGCCCTGGATTCTGGGCTCCGCCTCTGGCCGATGGTGGCACGCGGGTTTCCAGGTCGGCCTTCTTGTGCGTCACTCCGGGCTCTTGGAACCTTCAGCTCCACCTGGCGTTTCGCTGCCGGCGTCTCCTTACCTCTCTGGTTTTGTTTGCAGTTGAGGGTGGCTGGGTTCCCCAACCCAGAGGGAAACTCCAAGGACTCAAGTTCCTTTGACATCCCTATAAATACCAAGGGACGACCTGGCAATCCCACAGCCCCTCTGGGAATCAGCTGGACAGCGCGGTGGTGAAGTCCAGGCTAGCACAGAACAGGAAAGGACATGTGCAGATACTTGAAAGCAAAAGCCGCAGTGCTTGCAAATAGCTGGACCGTGGCTTTGTAACTTCGTAGAAACATCTTTCCGCCTTCCGAAAGACAGCAAAGGCGCTCTTTCTGCTGAGGGAAGTCCCTAGCCAGCTTGTGCAATCCGAAATGTTTTCTGCGCGCTTTAGCCTTATTTTAACAAATTTTCCTCCAGCACGAGTGCCCGCCTCTAACATACCCGCTCCATCACTGCTTCCTCCAAGAAAATCCAAATTCCTGAAGGCAAGCTTTTCAGGGACAGTGTCATAGTGCCTTTGACAACTTCCGGAATTAGACTTGCCAACCTTGAATCTGTGGTTTGGTGTTTCCATAGTGTGATGCCTTATTTACATCTGTCTGATTTACCTGCATGTAACAAAGCACAGAGAAGCGTTAAGACACAGGCTTTTTGTCTCTGTGCTTGTGTTTGTATAGGGCATACCAGGATCCTATTTCTTTCTGTTTTTAGAAAAAGATGCTTGTTTCTGCGTTTGACAGCCCAACATCACTTTTTTTTTTTTTAAATCGAGTAAGTAAGCAACTGTTCTGAAACTGCAAATGTGTCTTAACTGGCCAGTGGGGGTTAAATTGGGGCTGCACCTGGGAGGAACTGAGAATGAGAGCTGTCCTCCAAAATAAAGCTGCTGTTTGTGGGTAGAAGTTTCTGCAGACGATGGTCCCCAGAAAGAAAAGAGAAAAAAAGAAAGAAGCTCGCAGAATGGTTGGCCCTCATCTGACTCAACTTTGCTCTTTTGGCTCTTCTGAGATTGCTGGCCGAGCGCCCTGTAAAATAAATGGGTATCTGAGGAGAGGCTCAGCGGGTAAAATCATTGCCCCGATTGCACTGTGACCTGAGTTAGGGTTCTCAGCACTCGCATGATGGTCAGATGCTGGTCTGTAAGCCCAGTGGGGGGAGGGGGGTAGAGACACCCCCCCATGAGAGGATAGAGGAATACACACACACACACACACACACACACACACACACACAGATTCTTGGATTCCTAGTGTGTTTTCCCCATGTTCTGTTCTTCTGACTTTTGACCCATGACTGATCGCTAGTTTCCATTTTGCTGTCTTTCCCCAGCACTATACTCAATGGGGTTTTTAAGCTCTCTACTTTTGAATCTGATTCTCTTGCTTCTCAGTGAGCCACCCTGTGAGTGCTAGGAACTGAACCCTGGACTTCCTCAAGAGCAAGTGTTCAGCCGGGCGGTGGTGGCACATGCCTTTAATCCCAGCACCCGGGAGGCAGAGGCAGGCAGATCTCTGTGAGTTCGAGGCCAGCTTGGTCTACAAAGCGAGTTCCAGGAAAGGCGCAAAGCTACACAGAGAAACCCTGTCTCGGAAAAAAAAAAAAAGAGCAAATGTTCTTATCCACTGAACCATCTCTCCAGGCTCTCTCTCTCTTTCTGTCTCTCTTTAAGACATGGTCTTTCTATGTAGCCCTGGCTGTCCTGGAACTCACTATATAGACAGACCAGTCTGGCCTCCACTTGCCGCTGCCTGGGATTTAAAGAGGGTGCCAGCCAGGTGGTGGTGGTGGTGGTGGTGGTGGTGGTGGTGGTGGTGGTGGTGGTGGTGGCAGCGGCGGTGGTGCACGCCTTTAATACCAGCACTTTGGAGGCAGAGGCAGGCAGATCTCTGTGAGTTCAAGACGAGCCTGGGCTACAAAGTGAGTTCCAGGACAGCCAGGAATACACAGTGAAACCCTGACGAAAACCAACCCCTACCCCGACCCCCCCCCAAAAAAAAAGAAAGAAAGAAAAAGAAAAGAGGGTGCCACCAGTCCTGGCTAGTGTTTCTCTTTAACTCTGTATGTCTGTGGCTACCACTGTCCATGGCTATCTTTGTTGTGATTTTTGTCATAGTTCTTAAGCAACTCTAAGGCCATTAGTCCCCAGTCTTGCAGTTAAACTTGGAAGGAAAATCCAGATGGGCAAAAGCGATGCAGTTACGGGTATGAATAGCTCCCTCAGGGTGTGTGTGTGTGTGTGTGTGTGTGTGTGTGTGTGTGTGTGTGTGTGTGTGTATGTGTATGTATGTTAATATAACATATTAGTATAACATATACTAATGTATATAACATATACATGATATATATATTAAGCAGATACAATCCAGCTGTGGGGAGACCAAGGCAGGAAAGCACTTGGCATTTGGGAGCACTGAAGAACTGAGGGACAGAATGGATACCAAGGGGAACTGGTGGGTTGATCGATTCCTTCCTTCCCTTCCTCCCTTCTTCCTCCCTCATTCTGTGTCTCCCTTATTAATACAGCAAATATAGGACCCGATCTGTGCTACGTATTCTACTAGGGGCTGAAAGTCACTGGTGGACAATGAAGGTGTGGTCTTTGTCCCTACCGCACAGGGGCAGTATTAACAGTCAAGGTGCACCATAAGGAAGTGCTATTTCGTTTTTATCTATCTATTTATTGAGACAAGATCTTGCTAGCTAGCCCAGGCTAGTCTGAAACTGTGTAGCCCTGACTAGCCTCCAACTCAGAGTGTTCCAGAGAGCTAGAATTACAAGAGTACACCTGTACTCCTGGCTGTAAGTTCAAGTACAGAATTTAACCTGAGTAAAGGCACAGCAGAATGCTACAAAAGGGAACCATGGGACTTTGAAGGGAATGTTCTTGATCTTGATATTGGGGGATGCTCAAAACTCATCGAACTGGCCGGGTGGTAGTGGTGCATGCCTTTAATCCCAGCACTCAGGAGGCAAAAGCAGGTGGATCTCTGAGTTCAAGGCCAGCCTGGTCTATAGAATGAGTTCCAGGACAACCAGGGCTACCCAGAGAAATCTTATCTCAAAAACAAAAAGAAAAGAAAAATTGAAGTCCCTTATTTTGTAATTATTGTTTACATATCCCAAGATCTTAGTTTTTTTTAAGCCTCAAATGACTATGAGAAACTGGTAAATTATTGATTTTTATGATGAACCTATAAAAATTAAGTCTTACTCTCATTTTGCAAAAACATAAAAATTGAAACAAAAACTTCATTCATATTAGAAAAAAACACATATGTGGGAATAAGCAAAGACATAATTCCAGTTTGAAGAAAACTATATACAGTGTTGAAGAAATGAAAATACATAAACTTGGGCTGGTCTGTGCCTCTGAATTCTGATTTCTGTGTAATAAGTTGCAGCTTAAAGGCCACCCCCTTATTGTCTCACATGGTATCTGGTGATCTGAATTGAGGCACACTGTGATATATTTTAGTTTCTGTGTTTGTTTGCTTTCTTTGATTATCTTTTCTGTAGTAGTGGAAAAACATCTTGATGTGTGTAGTTTTTAACCTTTTGGCTTAGTTACTTGAGAGTGATTCCTGGAGCATACAATCACTGAACCACAGATGTTTGGTACTTGAACATCTTTATTTTTATGGCTATGTGTCTGAGCTTGCATGAGTTCCTGTGTACCACATGTGTGCTGCTGCCCGCACAGGCTGGAAAAGGACACTGGATCCCCTGGAACTAGAGTTACAGAAAGTTGTGAGCTTCCATGTAGGTGCTTGGAACTGAACTTGGTCCTCCACAAGAGCATCGCTTACAACACGTATTTCCCCAGGACCTATTCTGAATCTATCGCATCCCAAGTGTTAGATACTCGATCGTAAGAAAGACGTAATATCTGAAGACTGGGCCAGACATGGGGGTGTATACCTGAACTTCAGCACTAGAAGAACAAAGATTTCAAGTTTGAGACTAGCCATGATGACAGAGTGATACCCTGTTTCAAGAGAAGGAGGAGGAGGGGGAAGAGGGGGAGGAGGAAGGGGCGGGGCAAGGCTGAGGAGATGGCTCAGTTGTCACGTGCTTGTCACACCCTAGAACCCACTTACAGAAGCTGGGCGTGGTGGTATGTGCTTGTAATCCCAGCATTGGGGAGGTGGAGACAGGCAGATCCTTCGGCCTCACTGGCCACCATGCCTAGCCTCTTTGGCAAATTCTAAGCCAATGGTAGACTTTATCTCAAAAATAAGGTGAGTGACACCTGATGAGCAATATTCAAGGTAAACTGGCTTCCTCATACACAGGATTGCACACACACACACACACACACACACACACAATCACTTTGCACACACATACTCTTTCACACACACACACACACACACACAATCACTTTGCACACACATACTCTTTCACACACAGAAATGACCTCTGATCACATGGAAATGAGAGATGGTAGTTTTTTTGTAAGGCTTGATGATCTATCTAGCCTCCCATGTAATAGATGAGACTGCTATTATTAAAATATCCATGATGTTTGTTCTGTCATATTTTTAATATTTTTGAAAATGTTGTGAAATTGAAAAAAAAAACCTTGTCTACATTGCTTATTTATTATAAAACTCCCTCTAGGGCAGGTGTTTTCTACACGCCGATTTACGGTCTCCTCACACTTCAAGTCTTCCCTCTATAATATATGGAGACATTGTAATGTGCACATTCTGAGTCCGCCTGACCTGGGGATAAATCTTGACGTTCAGGCCCCTGTGATAGCTCAGTGGGTAAGGGTGCTTGCTACCAAGTGTGATGACCAGGGCTCCTTCCCAGAGCCACACGGTACAAGGAGAGAGCCAGCTCTCAAAAGTTGTCCTCTGACCTCCACCTGCTGCCTGTGGCACACGTGTGCCCTCTACCCCCCAAAAATAAATTAGCTAAAGCAAGCGTGACTTTGGACTGTTACTAATCCTGTCCAAACTTTTGCTCCTTGATCTGTGTGGGAGGGTGGTGGTCTCTCATGGGATTATTGAGGCAATTCAATGCAAAGGGTTAATACTTTTTTTTTTTAAGGCATGGACTTAAACGTTGGTAGGAGATCTTAGGAACTATTTTAGGCTTCTGATGTTTTTACTCTTTGTGAAAAGAATAACTATAATTTAAAAGTAATATTTTTGTGTGGAAGTAAGCTGTGTCGAGGAAAAGCTCATACAGTGATGTAGTTTTCGTAGCTATTTTTAGCTCTCGCAGTCTGTGTCGTCATCGGAGTGCTCGGTGGGATTAAATTCCAGTAGGTGAGTGGAATGTGTGTGAGCTCGTAGAACTGAAGATAACGCCTCAGAGCCCCATCAGGCTCCTGGATGCAGACTTTCTTTGGCCGCCAGCCACATTCTTGGTCCTGGTTTTGGGCCTGTTTTTCCTGTGCCGACCTCCACTTCAAAGCCGTTTTCAGTCTTGCTCCTGTCGTGAGCCACCCTTGGCTTCTGTGGCTCCTGACTACACTGGAATCCCTCTGTGGACGAGCCTTCCCTTTCTCGTTGACAGCCTAGCAGCTTGCATTCATTTTGTATTTCTATGGGGCAGAAGTAGGGGTTGGCCAGGGGACCTGGGAGGGTGTGGGGAAGGAGGGAGGCCCTGTGTCCATTTCCCCATGCGTCTTATGGTTGTTAGTTTTTCAGCTAACGCTTTGTGGGGAGTCGGGAGACACAAACTGCCGGTGCTCCTAAAATAAATCTGTTTTACCCTTGTCTGCCCTTCCTAAACTAGATTGACTGTGGCATCTCTTCCTCAGAACACAATTCAAAGACGGGATCTGAGTAAAGCTGACTGGTTGTTGATAGCACAGTTGGGGAGGAGACTCAACAGAGCTGTGCACCCCGATGGTTGGGCCGGGATAAAGCTGGTCTGGTTCCAAGTGTGATGTCGCCCGTAAGCTTCATGAAGTGAATCAGATGGCGGGTGACCCTGGAACAAGATACAACACTCAACCCAACTTAAAGCGCCAGAAGCCCATCCAGCCTTACGTCTGCTCCACTCTGGAGGACTTTCAAGAAGAGAGAGATTTTTTGGCCAGCACCATCTTCCCTCGGCTCAACGACCTCTGCAGCCCCCGGGGCACCTACTTCAAAGCTGTGGACCTGAGGTGGTCGGCCGTGAAGGCCCACAAGTCCTTCACCACCAACCTGTGCCGACAGTACTCCTGCCTGTGCTCTCAGCATCTGAAGCTCTGCCTTGACTGTGTGGACAGCTGCTCCCCCTTCTTCATCTGCCTGCTGGGGCAGACCTACGGGGACTTCCTCCCCCACTACACACCCTTCCTGTTCTCCAACATAAAGGACTTCACCAATCTATCCAAGGGAGAACAAAATCTATATGTTGCTGCAAAAAATGGCTACCCTTGGGTCCTGGAGACTCCCAACTGCAGCCTAACAGAGTTCGAGATCACCCAAGCAGCCTTTCGGAAGGAATCTCAGTTTCAGTTTTTCTACTTCCGGACATCGAACTCACTGCTAAGGACTTTCAGCGAGGAGGGAGAAGAAGAAAAGCTGTCCCCGGCTTTTCTGATGAACGAAGAGGGAAAAGTGAAAGTTGGGAGACTCAAGGCTAAGATCATCGGGAAAGGGCTTCCTGTCAGATTCTATAGAGACCTGGACGAGCTGGGCGATTTGGTTTTCAAGGACTGGTCCGCTGTTGTGGAGAAGCTCTACCCAGTCCCTATTATCATGGAAAATATAGGTCAGTACACACAGGGATGGCGAAGGGCTCACTTTGCAATAGGAGATGTCTCCTGTGTCTTCCTGGAGAAGGAATGAAAAAAAATTAATGTGTGTGTGCGTGTGTGTGCGCGCGCGCGCGCCCACACCACAGTGCCTTTGCAGGTCAGAGGGCAACTTTGGGGAGTCAATTTTCCTCTTTGCCTGTTGAGGCAGAGTCTCTCATTTCTGGTGTTCTGCATACTCCGGTCTGTCTGACTCACAAGTTTCCCATGATTCTCCTGTCTCCATTTCCCATCTCCCTGTATCCTGCAGTGCTGGGATTACAGATTTGGGATACCACATCTGGCTTTTTGTAAATTCTCGGAGTAGAACTCTGGTCACCAAGCTTGTACAGCAAGTGCTTTTACCTGCTGGGCCGTCTCACTGGCCCAGGCAAGGAACCTTTAAATAATTGAATATACTTGTTAAGCATTTTAAACTATCACCATGATCTTGTAGCATATGTTGCTCTCTTTAAAAGTATATTTATTTTAATGTGTGTGTGTGTGCCTGAGTGCATGTCTATCCACCGTGTTCATGCAGGAGCCTGAGGAAGTCGGAAGAAAGTGTCAGATCCCCTAGAACTGGAGTTAGAGGCAGTTGTCAGCCACCAGGTGTGTGCTGGAAACGGAACCTGGCTCCTCTGCAGGAGGACTTTTGGAACTGAAAAGAAGAGCTAATCGTGGGCCTGGAGATTATTAGGATGTTAGAGAACTCAGAGAAGACCCAGAACATTGGCATTCGCATGTAGGTCTAGAGAGATATTGTCACCCAGGGTTGATTTTGTCCCCTCTGGTCTCATCTGGGGGGAATCTTGGTTATTGTAAGTGAAGAAAAGCACTGGTGTCTAATGGGTAGAGGCTGAGGACATAAATGCACAGGACAGACTTCCACAATGAAGGGCTATCTGGTCCTAAACGCCAATGGCGCCATAGTTAAGAAAAGAAAGAACCTTTATAGTCTGTTGATATGTGTATAGTGTCACATTTAATCTTTAAGATGACATTCTGGTCCTGCAGATGAGCAAGTAGAAGCTGCTGTACAGTGGTTAAGTGTCTTACCAATGATACAGGACTACTAAAGGACCAATCCAGATCTTGAACTCAGGTCCCTCTGATGATCAGATCCTTACCTGTGGAATCCTTTACTACTCAGTGGAACCCATGGACTAACAAGCTTGAGAATTTGTTATCCCTTTCCATGTCTGTTTAATTAAAACAATGGTTATGTTCGTGTTTTTGAAAATAATGTCCTATGTTGGACAGGCATGCATGTGGTAGATTGAAAAGCCAACAGCACTTATGAGTGCGGCAGAGGTTTTTCACCCAGACAAGCTTCAGAAGGGATCTGAGATGAAGAAAATTCATCAAATAATATGAATAGTGGAATGTTCACATGCATGTGGTATGTTTAGGGGGTAAGAAGATGACTATGTTTTGTCCCATCCTCAAGGAATGACATACAAATGTTATAGTTTCTAATGTAAGGACCAGTTAACGTGGGCATGCAAAATGACAGACAGTAGATGGTATATTCCCAGATCCTTTCTGGGACCAAGTAGTCAAGAGACCTTGTCATGTGATTAGGAGCAGATGGATGGGTGGTGACTTTAAGAATATTGACCCACGCCATAGCACTGTGCTGGTAACATGAAACTCCTTGCAAGCCAAACCATTAGGGACCCAGAAAAGAACATTATTATCAGTTCTGTCAGTTTTTTGGTTGTAAGTGACATCAATAAAAAAGGAGAATTACAGAGTTTGGGCCCCGTTCCACTCTATTGAATTAAGCGTGCTTTTAGAACTGAAGATGCAAGGCTTAGTTCTGGGTCATGTGGGCTTCCTCCTGGTGCTCAAATGGTGTCCCTGGGCTTGGGACAGTGTTTCTCAGCTGGAAGCTGCTGTCCTGATATGGGCTCAACACCTTGAGTTCCCCATTATGGAAGGAAAAATGACTGTAGCTGCTCCAGGTTCAAAGTCCTAAGAATTGATTCTGAGTCTTAGAATTGGGTCATTTTGTCTCTGAGAGCCTGACTTGGGCCATATGTTTTTATTTGACTCCGTCACTGGGTGCCCAAAAAATATGATGTTCTGCTTGGCTAATCCTGTATCTGGAAGAGCAGTCATGAGCTGGAGAATGTGAACTGAGGCTGAATGAGCCCCAGACACTAATCTAGTGCTGCTCCTGAAATGATGCTAAAGCCAGGGAGTGTGAGGCAGCCAGAAACACAGACCAAATGATTGCGGTGGGGTAGGTAGGGTTTTGGATTCTCAGTCCAGACTGTGCTAGATCCTAGAGTTTTCAGTTCCAAGCTCTGGAATTTAGCAAGTTACTATTGATAAGTGTTGGTTTCTTGTATAAAACAGATTAACGGTAATACCTTGAAGGTAATAAAAAAGTAAGACATCTAAACACAATGCCCAGCACATGTTAGCCATGGGAAAGTATTCAGAAGCATGAATAACAACAAATGGGATCTGGAAGAATATCTACATTTGGCCAAAGTATGAAGTGTGGGTAATATTAATATTTTTTTACCGATCTCAATCTGAAACCCATCGATTAATAATCACCAGTGTGTAGAAGAATCAAGCTTTTCTGTATAGTTGGATTAAGGCCACCTTATTTCATTCTTGTATTTATGTTGGTTTTTAAATTTTTCGGACATGCATGCATGTGTATGATGTGTGTGTGTGTGTGTGTGTGTGTGTGTGTGTGTGTGTGTGTAGAGGGGGACGCTTGTGCAGGCATGTAGAGGCCAGAGGCCAGCATCGTGGAATCAGTTTTCTCCCTCTACCAGGGTTAAGTTAGGTTTCTAAGCTTGCTCAGCAAGTGTCTTTACCTGTTGAGCCGTCCTGATGGCCCTAATTAGCCCTTGATTTTGAATATCATTGAAAGGTTAGCTTGTTTTAGACTTTCTTCTTCTTTTTACGTTTAATTTTAAATCACATGTATTTATGTGTGTGGGGGGGTATGCAAACATGAGTGCAGGTGTCCTCGGAGACCAGGTGTCAGATCCCCTGGAGCTGAAGTCAAGGTAGTTGGAAGCCACCTGATGGGGTTGCTGGAAACTGAACTCAGGTCCTTGGCAAGAGCAGGACGCACTCTTAACTGCTGACCATCTCTTCAGCCCCTAGGCTTTATTCTTTTGTTTGTTTGTTTGTTTGTTTGAGACAGGGTTTCTCAGTGTAGTTTTGGTGCCTGTCCTGGATCTCACTCTGTAGACCAGGCTGGCCTAGAACTCACAGAGATCTGCCTGGCTCTGCTCCCCACCCCCACCCCACCGCTTAGCGGCTTTATTCTTAAATGGGTCTATGTGCGCTAAATGAATAAAAAGATACATAATGGGTTATATAATAGAAATTGTTTCTATCATATGAATTATAAATGTATAATTAAATAATATAAATATAAATTATTAAAAATGCTTTAGAAACAAGTGTTCAGTTCTTTCCTTGTGGATCTTTGGGACCCTTTAATAACTCAAGGAGTCTACAGCTGGGGTAGTAGAAAATCATTTGGTCAGCTGGTAGCTTCTGAAAAGCAAGGTAGAGTTGTCATTGTGTACTTGTGCACACGCGTGTGCGTGTGCGCGTGCGCGTGCGCGCGCGCGCGTGTGTGTGTGTGTGTGTGTGTGTGTGTGTGTGTGTGTGTCTTCGTGTATATGCAGGTACATGTAGCAACTAAGGGTCAACTGCAGGTGTCGTTGGTTACCTTGTTCAGTTTGAACTTGACTCTTAGAAGTCTCATGACACGTGGATGAAAATACTGTAACAGAACCCATTTTTTGTAAGCTAACCTTAAAAATCAATTTAAAATACCTCTGCTATTCATAGAAAAACCTAAGTGAGTGAAGGTCAAGGTTAGTTCAAGAGCCTTGTTGGACTGTAAATTCTGCAGTACAACATTCTGTTGATGCTCTCGGAACTTGGAGCTGGCCTTGGGCAAACTGGGTTTCTAAGTCTATTCTGGCCCAAATCTCAACAGGGAGGCTCAGAAGCCCAGTTGGGAGGAGCAAGGTGTGTCTTTTGGGAATCCCAGACCAACTCTCCTTCATTCCCCACCTCCCATCCCTGCCACCGGAATAAATTGGTGAATATGTGTCTCTCCAAAGACAGGAGGGGGTTTTGATAGGCTAGAACGTCCTGACACTAATTAGGCAGTGGGTTTGGAACTGGAGGAAACTGGAGCTGGCATGCACATTAGAGATCATCTAGTTGCCTGGCCCTCCACATTTACCAGAATTAAAAGGACTTCCCCAATGGAAGAGCTGTATCTGTGCTTACCGTTATCGTCCGTGTTGGAACATTTTACCCCGGGGTGGGGGGTGGGGGCGTACTCCTCAGCCTCTGCCATGGAGGACATACATATACACGCGTACCACAACACTGAACCTTTGTACTAGCTAGCAGTTTATGTACCAAGTCTAAATTTGTTTTTAGACTTGTTGCTCTTGGATCGTGACAGTTGGATTCCATATACAAATGGCATGAGGAAGGTTAAATGGTCTGTCTGTGGCAATGGTTCTCAACTTGTGGGTCATGACCCTTTTGGGGAGTGCATAGCGGATATCTTGCATATTGGATATTTATATTACGACTAATAACAGTAGCAAAATTACAGTTATGCAGTAGCAACAAAATAATTTTATGGTTGGGGTACATAACATGAGGAACTATATTAAAGGGTCTCACAGCATTAGGAAAGTTGAGAACCACTGGTCTGTGGTTTGCTTTCACTATTATATACAGTGGGCTATAAAATATGATACAAGCTGGGTGGTGGTGGTGCACACCTTCAATCCCAGCACTTGGGAGGCAGAGGCAGGTGGATCTCTGTGAGTTCGAGGCCAGCCTGGACAACCAAGTGAGTTCCAGGAGAGGCGCAAAGCTACACAGAGAAACCCTGTCT